GCAAAGGTTCCAGTGGTTAGGCAGCAAGGAACCACTCACTGAAAAAGGCAGAAACACAGACTTGCTGATGTGTAGATCAGTGACAAATTTTGTAGATAAATTGGGGAGGTGGGGGGAGAAGAAAGAAGAGTTATAGGGAGTCTACCTTTTGTCCTGTGCAGAGCTGACAATTGTCATAAATTCAGTTAACAAAAAACCAGCAGTTCCTCTAGGTGTAAAAAAAATAAAACTAAGCTACTAAAATACCAAACACTGTTCTTCAAATAGCCTTTTGATTGATAAAAACTTCCTCTGGAAGATGAACTTTTTAACTTGTCTTCAATTATAATGATGAAAGTAATCCTGTGAAGAAAAGGATCAAGTTAATAACAGGTAACCACATAAAGGCAAGTATTTCTAAAGATTAAATAGAATTTTTCTTCTCTGAGGAATTAATTTAATGAAATTTGACATTATTTAGTACGTATAATAACTTAACTGGCTGATAAATTCATGTTCCCTCCCTGGGATTTAGTCTGTATTATAATTCAGGTAAGAATTTGTGACACAAATAGGTGAAGCTTTCATATGTAAAATATTTTTCATAGTTTTTATTTATCTCTCTGGTTTCAGAGGAGCATTGCTGTTACAGCTATAAATGCTATTAATTGCTCCCTACCCTGCAGTTTTCAGTACTGTAAAATATCCCTGGTTGGGATTTAATCTGTATTATAATTCAGGTAAGAATTTGACACAAATAGGTGAAGCTTTCATATGTAAAATATTTTTCATAGTTTTTATTTATCTCTCTGGTTTCAGAGGAGCATTGCTGTTACAGCTATAAATGCTATTAATTGCTCCCTACCCTGCAGTTTTCAGTACTGTAAAATATCCCTGGTAATATGTTGCATTTACCACCGTGTACTATATTTTATTTATTTGACTGGGGGGTTGAGAGAGCAGTCAGAGGCTTGGCAAAAGGGAGACTCTTCTAGAATTTGAAAACCCATTCCTTCCTTCCCAAATTTTTAATTATAAAATGACACTTTTTAATGAGTGCTGATGGTGAAATATGAAGTCTTTCCTCTGAAATATTATGAATCATAAATAATTTGGTGCCCCAAAATCAATCTCTGTCAACATCAGAGTATTCATTAGCATCTGGGATCCTACGATCTGAAGTCTCAGCATGTTCCCAGTAGATAACAGAGTAATTATTAAATCTCTTCAGGTCAGACTCAGTTGTAGGTTAAGTCACTGCCTTGTAAGGAAAAAAGAGCATGATCCCACATAAACTAAACTGTAGTATAGGGGGTCTCTGAATTGATGTATCAGGCTTGATCTCCTGCTTTTTCTGTTCATCTGAACAAGTAGATGTTGAATTGTCTTATTTGGCTGCCTAAATCCAAGCTAGAGACTGATCAGTGTGCTGTAGTCATTTGGGTTTTTTTTCCACTATGCTGAACTGATTTGAGCAAGACATTTCTTCATTAGCTGCTTATTTTTGCTTCTTTGTAATCCAAAGGTCTCTGGATGAAATCTTAACTGGTAGGTCGTCATTTTCCTGGTGGCTAACTTGAGTCATGAGGAATAAGAAATCAAGATCTCTTGACTTAACCTGCCTTTTAAGAATGACGTAGGGCTGCAAAGCTGTCTTGCGATTCATCTCCAAAGATTTTTTAGTTTGATCGGAGCAGTCCTTTGTCCTATGGTTGGAAGCCCAGTTTTGGAGGATGGAGCAAAGTGATAAAAAGTATAA